GACCCTAGGATTGGCGGCTTGGCTTAAAGAATATGGGATTCTCTTTCCGGTGGAAAATGGCATCTGAAAATGAGACTGAGACCCACTTTTCGAATTGTCAGAGGCTATGAGATCCACTTTCTTTTGGAAAGGAGAAGGGAGAAGCAACATTTCAACTGTGTGAGGATGGACTCTAGACCCACTCGTTCTGATTCTGTGATTGCAATTTCTCAAAGTGGATCATAAAGTTGATCCTGTTTACTAACTCACTCTCGAAGTAGAAGTACCGGACCAGGTAACCAGAAGATAAGGCCACTCGGCAAGACTGGACTAGTTTAACACGGCTATCTAGTGGAACACTATATATATAGGACTTGTAGAGCTTGAAAAAGCTTGTTTTGGTCTTTTTTTCTCTTTTCTGGGCACTGAACTTCATAGACAGACTTACCAACTGATGAGCCAAAGTAGCAAATTTCTTCTTCCTGGGAGGGGCGGACTCTACGTTGGTAGATCGAACTTTCATTTCTTCCTTCCATTTCATATGTTCAAGTAGTCTCCTTTTCAAGTAGATACGCTTTGATACCAGACTGGTGTGCATTCTATGCTTACCCAGCGAGCGAAGGAGCGAGCCAATTCCTCTGTTCCGGTAGAGCCAATTCCTTTGAAGAATTGTTTACTTTCTTGTCTTTCCTCCAGTGAACAGAGTGGAAGACCAGGTATCTTCGTAGTTGGCTCTAGAATGATTGCTTGCAGGGTTTCATATTTTCCAATGATCTGCTTAGTTGGAAGAGATAGATAGGAGAAGCGAATGCCAGATGCGCGGTGTGCCAATCAATCCAATTTCGTGAGATCGAGTCAAGATAAGAAGGCAAAATTCTTTGGAGTAAAGTCGCCTGGAAGAAAGAATAGGAATTGATCTAGCTATAGTATAGATAGAGTGTCAGATGAAATGCTTGACAAGGCAAGGAAACAGAACTTCCACATCCTCTGTTCACACTACCTGGATTGGAATTGGTTCTATCGAGATATACTGACTTGAAACAGGAATTTCTTGGTAACTGCTGCTTCTTTCGTTCAGCGTTAACCGTTTCTTGGATGAGTTATTCTGTTTTCTTAAGGAGCTATCCAGGCCCAAGACACTCAGCTTTATTTGCCTCCCCAAGAAAGAATAACTCATCCTTATGAAAATTTGTCTTGGGCCTGGATAGCTCCTCAATTTTGCAGACTAAAGCTGAGTGTCAGCAGGGTCAGTTTACGTTGGAATTGTAACTAATTATTGAAAGGTCTGTGATGTGGATTGGAAGCGGCTAGAAGAAACAAAAAAAATGGCTCATTAGTTGGGAAGTAATGCATATGACCTCTGGAGGACGGATAGTCCTAATCGACTCAGTGTTCAACAAAAATGGTTATATACATGATGTCTTTTTCCAAGTGTTGAAAGGCGTGGTACAAAAGTTGTACTTTAGGTCCAGAATTTTCTGGCATGGTGATAATGAAAAATATATAGATTATGACAATGGAGGTGCGCAGTTGCTCCACGATTTGCTTGCATGTGCGTGCAAAGAAGGTTCAATATCCAAGCGGTTTTACTCGCCATTTCCACACGCTTCGTTTTTGGATATTTATGTATAGCTGCTACATTGAGCTCACGCACGTGATCAGTTGATCCTTCCTGAGTCCCCACAGTGATGGTCGTTTATGTGGTGATGACTTTGACCATAACCATTGTTGGCTTTGCCCGAGGAGTACACTGGATATAATCACATGGAGACTTTGTGGCGCGGACTCACTTGTGCTTTTCTCTCATGTTCACACTAACTCAAGACAGCTGATGAACAAGTCCTTCGGTAGAAAGACGTACACGAGTAAGGTGTTTTGGAGGACGAGCTTCATGGAGCATGTTATTTAAAACTTCAAAAAAAAATTGGTTTCAAAATAATTATTCGCAAAGAAGGATGTAATGTATATGCGTGTAAAATTTCATGATGAAATACCTTGAATTATAGGTTGCACAAAAAAAACGTGGACTTTGATAGTGAACAGTGCATGTGCTAAAAAGCAACAAATTTGGTTTTTCCTTGTAGCTCTCACTTAAGCGCATTTAATAATGAAGTTTTACACACATATACATTACATTCTGTGCATATTTGTATTTTTCAGAATTTTTTGAAACTCAGAAGTATGATTTTCTTGAATTGTTCAAAATTCAGCTCCATGGAGCCCGGGCTCCAGTAGAATTTTCGGACACAGACGTACTAGTACCTGATCCGCTATTTGCTCCACACTACCATCCACGAAATTTCTATAGAGGAACCTTCACGACTGCACATATGCAAAAACGTATGTGGACCAGCATGTGTGGACGAATCTGTGGACAGTTGCATAACATGCTGAAACGATAAAGAAGGTTGACGAGGGCATGACCCCAAATAACACTCGCCAGTCCACATCGATCCACGAATCAAACAAGAACGGTTAACGCTGAACGTTAACTCCAATCTGTTGTAGTGTCTTCTCTTCAATGTGTTATGCAAGAAAAAGCTAGCTTCTGCAAGCAAAGGGTAAAGTCAAAGCTGCCATTCTCGGCGATGAAAACACGCAATACTTCCAAATTTCAGCTTCCCAACAGTTCTGAAAAAAAAAACAGATTCCCCTCTTAGACGATTAGGGGTTGTAATTGTTGCCTCACGGTCACAAAGGGGTAATCGTAAAAAATGTACTGTATTCTCCAACATTTACTAGGACATCTTGGAATTTCCGTGTATATATAGACCGCGTTTTACCAGATCGTATCGTGTCCCCAAAATCAAGATCATAATTTAACAGTAGCTGGCCGTAGTCGTAGCTGCCATGGACGCAGACATAGTTGACTGTGACTTCTAAACCAGCCACGTGGTTACAGCGGTGACCATCCACCCCAGCTCAAGTGCACAGGTGATTGTTTGCGACAGCAAAGGTCTATACGTGTTGAAGACTTTTCACGAAGAAAATGGCTTGGAGGATGTGACTTTCTAGAACAAAAGAACGCGAGGAAGGAAGACACATAGTTGCAAGAGGATTTTTTTCGACCTATTCTTTCTGTTACTTTTCTCTTTGTTTGTAACGCTTTTACATCACATGGACTTCACGTCCAACACGACACAGCAACATGCCCAACAAGTACTACCTCTGTACGAAAATAGAAGACGTTTTTGCAGTACATTTTAAACTGCAAAAATGTCTTGTATTTTGATACGGAGGGAGTACAACGCAACAGCACCTGCTACACTCCGGTTACGACTCTTTCCTGAGCAGAATTCGGAAACTAGAACATAACACAATCTACGACTCAAACTTGAGGCAATCCAAAATGTGACTCATTCGGATACAAGTATTTGCGAGTCAAATCTTGATTAACCGCCACAAGTGCAAGGTGTTGTGCTGCAAACACATCCGGGCCAATCAGGGTTGCCAGGCTGCAAGAGCAATTTTATAACCATTGTAAATCGGTGTTCAGTTGTTGAAGTAAACATGGTCACCATGATGATCAGAATTTCTAGCTAGTGCTTTAAGCAGAGCAAGCATTTCCGAAACAAATTATGAGAGAATGAGTTAAGACAGAGAACAGCTACCAGGGAGAAAAAAAGGAGTATATATGGCACATCAATTTATTTGTCTTCACCAATTCACATCTAACTAGCCGTGTCTTTCTACGTATTACTTTACTAGATGATCAGTTGTGTCATGGCGCAAAAACAAAATGCATGTGAGAAGTGAGGCTAACTATCGAAAGGAATTATAAGGAATATGTAGGTATATAAGATATGTTGTGATCTACTCTAATACAGGTGGGGTTCTCAGTTTTGTACATGAAGTTGTTGGTGCACCTCTGGGGTACATCATTGTCCGGGTTGCGGCCCTGGACCAGCTCGGGTAACTTTTTGGGTTCACAAAAACTAGGTGACGCAATATTAGGTTGAATCACCAAAATCATCTTAAGTTGAATCATGATGAGCTTTTTGTGGTTAGTCATCCCATGATCAATATGAATTACATTTCCACACTGCATGAGAACTTAGATGTAGGTAGTCAGACCATAAACACTCGATAAAACATTTGAGGTAAACCTACTGTATATATCTTTATTTTTTTTCTTTCGTACCGCCAAACTGGCCGGGTTCCACTATCATCAGATAACAAAACAACACCCGGTGCAAGTGAAACCTACTGTATTTATCACTATCAATGAAAACACAAACATTTAATTTATCTAGTGACTTAACTGGTTTTCCAAATGCCAGCCCTTGAGACGCCGTGGCAATGAGCAGAATGATCTCCACTATAACAAGCAGAAGAACCATGTCCATCTGGAACCTCCCAGCCCAAACCATGTTGATATGGCAAAATGAAAGTTGTTGGCTGTTGCACTCACACCACCCCCTCTCTTGTACTATTGTCACCATGCTGCTTCTAGGTCTCTTATATACATAAAGGATTTGTCCGGAAATTTGAAAAAATATCGTAGCCGGTATGGATGTGCGCTCTGCTTAATTTTGAATATGTATGTATAGCTTGCAGAAGCGCTCTTGAGTTCTCAGTTGGAATAGTCCTAGCCGCCATGGACACAGACATACTTGATGTGGACTTATGTGCTCAAGACTACTAAAGGTCTGAACGTGTGGAAGACTTTTGACGATGACAATGGCTTGGAGGATGTGACTTGCATGGTCTGAATCTGTTAAGATCGCCGCGTGGTTATTGAAGACTTTCGAAGATCACAATGGCATGTAAATTTCTTGCATAAGAAGTAACTTGGGACATATGATCCAAGGCTAGATAGAGAAGTGTGGATCGATGAAAGAGGATGGCAAGTAAGTAAGTCGTGCACTTGAAAAAAGGGTACCATGGAACAAGAATTCTCACAGGCTTAATGGGCAGTGAGCTGCTTTTTGGCCTTGACCAAATCCCAGTATGCAGCTCAAGTCTATAAAAGCAACACATACATACGTCTACCAGAGTACCAAAGCACAATAGAAAATTCAATGATGTCCATATTACATACCAACAACATGGTACGTCCTCTGTTAGCCATCCTCCTCCTGTCATCAGCTTTGAACCACTTGTCATCTGCTGCAACACTAGCTGATAGTAGCACCCACACCAGCAGAGATGCTCTGCTCTGCCTCAAGTCCTGCATTGGCGGTACCACACTGGCCATGGCTACGTGGAACGACGGTGCCTCACCGGATTTCTGCACTTGGCTTGGGGTCACATGTACAAGGAGGAAAGGGCAACCACCCCTCGTGGTGGACTTGGATATGGAAGCCGAAGGACTCTCCGGTGAGATCCCACCATGCATCTCCAACCTCACTTCTCTGGTAAGAATCCACTTGCCCAACAACCAGCTCTCCGGCCATATCCAGTCGGAACTTGGTCGGCTCTCTGGACTCAGGTACCTCAACCTCAGCGTCAACACGCTCAGCGGCACTATCCCTCTCAGTCTTGGTGTGCTTCACAACCTTTCTTCTCTAGACTTGGGTAGCAATGGACTATCCGGTGAAATTCCACCTTTCATGAAGTCAAAGCTCACATACCTAAGTCTAGTCGGAAACAGCCTTACCGGAGTCGTGTCGCCATCGATGGAAAATCTCTCATCCCTTACATACCTCTTGCTTGCGCAAAACCAGTTGCAAGGATCCATTCCTGATTTGGGTGAACTGTCAAGCCTACAAAACCTTGATCTCTCCTACAACAATCTATCAGGGACAGTACCGCCCTCCATTTACAATTTGTCCTCATTAAACTACCTTGGGTTGTCCAACAATAATCTTGGAGGAACACTACCTTCTGGTATGGGCAACACACTTCCTAACATCCAAATACTGATGATGCATAATAATCATTTTGAGGGGGCTATCCCAGCCTCGCTGCAGAATGCCTCCAGCATGACGATTATCCATCTAGGCAACAACTCTTTGACTGGGGTGATTCCTTCTTTTGGCTCCATGCCAAACTTGAAGCATGTAATGTTGTACTCAAATCAGCTAGAAGCCGGAGACTGGGCATTCTTCTCCTCCTTAGCAAATTGTACACGTTTGCAGCAACTGAACTTGGGTAGAAACAACCTTCAGGGAGATTTACCACCGAATTCCATAGAGAATCTGCCCAAAAGCTTGACCGCTCTAACTCTTCGGTCAAACATCTCTGGCACCATTCCCTTGGAGATTGGAAACTTGTCTAATCTTGCCATGCTCTATCTTGATAGAAATCTTTTCGGTGGGCCTATACCTTCTACCCTTGGTCAACTAAGCAATCTTGTCGTGCTTAGCCTATCACAGAACAATTTTTCTGGGGAAATACCTCCTTCCGTTGGAAGCCTACACCAGCTGCAAGAGCTCTATTTGCAAGAAAATCAATTGAGTGGAAGCATACCTACAAGTCTAGCCAGCTGTGAGAACTTACTTGCATTAAACCTTTCATGTAATACCCTTGGTGGAAGCATAAGTGGAGACATGTTGGGCAAGTTGAATCAGTTGAGTTGGCTACTTGATTTATCACACAACCAACTCGCAATGTCCATACCAGTAGAGGTAGCTTGATAAACCTTGGTTCCTTGAACATCTCCCACAACAATCTCACGGGAAGAATACCGTCCACACTCGGTGCGTGTGTCCGATTGGAAGCGCTTCGTGTAGAAGGGAACCTCCTACAAGGAAACATCCCACAATCACTAGCAAACCTGAAAGGCATGCAAATGTTTGATTTCTCCAACAACAACCTATCTGGTACAATTCCAGAGTTCCTCGAGACCTTCACCTTGTTGCAGTATCTGAATATGTCCTTCAACAACTTGGAAGGATCAGTCCCCATAGGTGGAGTGTTTGCTAACACAAGTGGTATTTTTGTCCAAGGAAATCCACACCTTTGTTCAAATGGTGCATTAAGAGAGCTTCCTAGATGCTTTGCTTCAGCATCCACAAAAAAGCAAAAGTATTTTGTTCCTATGATGATAGCTCTGTTAGCTCTTGTTGCACTTGCCTTAATCTTGGGGGTGTTCAATTTTTGGTTGAGAAGGAGATACACATCCGGTGAGAGAATTGGCCATTCATACATGGAGTTGAAAAGGATAACATACGGTGACGTAATCAAAGCAACAAATAGTCTTTCTCTAGCCAATGTGGTCGGCTCCGGGCAATTTGGGACTGTCTACAAAGGTTGGTTCGACGCGGAAGATGGTACGGTTGCTGTTAAAGTCTTCAAGCTCAATCAGCATGGCGCATTGCATAGCTTCATTGCTGAGTGCAAAGCTTTGCAACACATCCGCCATCGGAATCTCATGAAGGTGATAACCGCATGCTCAACTTATGACCTAGTGGGAAATGAGTTCAGGGCTCTAGTCTTTGAGTATATGGCCAAGGGGAGCCTTGAAGACCGACTTCACAACCACCAGTGTGGTGGTTTGAGTTTAGGCGCAGTGATCTGCATATCAGTTGACATTGCTTGTGCTCTTGAATACCTACATAACCAGTGCATCCCACCGGTTGTTCACTGCGACCTAAAACCAAGCAACATACTTTTCGACAATGATGATACTGCACGTGTCTGCGACTTTGGTCTGGCAAAGCTAATTCATGGGTGTTCATCTGGAGGGCAGAGCGACACAACAAGCATAGTTGGACCAAGGGGATCTATTGGGTACATACCTCCTGGTCAGTATATTTTACAAGTCCATTATGAAATAATGTTAATGAAATGTAGTATGACTAACTATATCAGTTGCTAGTTTGTTTTTTATTAATACTAGCATGTTTCACTTTTGTACTCCGTTGAAGAACTTTTTGTTTTTTGCAGAGTATGGCATGGGCAGTGAAATCTCAACCGAGGGTGACGTCTACAGCTATGGCATTGTTCTTTTGGAATGCTTACACGGAAACGGCCTACCAATGAAGAGTTTAGTGATGGCTTGACGCTCCACAAGTATGCAGATGCATCACTTTCACTTTCACGAACCCAAGGCATTCTTCACCCCGGTCTTACTTTAGAGACGGGAGATCAGTGTGTCGGTCATATCCCAAACTTGCAAGAGCACAACACATTTGCACTAAAGGATATTGTACTCTCCGGCTCCTTAGACTTGGCTTATTATGCTCCGCGAAATCCCCGAAGGATCGCCCAGGGATGCATGATGTCTACGGTGAAGTAACTGAAGTAAAAGAGGCATTTTTCTCTATTGACAACTGAAGGCAATGACCCTACATAATGAAGGCAAAGACAATCGACGAAGATGAAGATGAAGAGATGAAGCTCGTTGCTTCGACCACAGCATGACAGCATGTTGCTATCTTTTTTTCCTTTTCTGTAAGCCAACATGTTTGGCTCACTGTAATAATTTGGTTACATACACTCCCAATGTCCCGACAAGATCTTCTGATAATCTTTTCATACATTAATAAAGATCCCTTTGGCTTATAATGACGGGCTTCTACTAGGGCAATTTTTTTTTGATATTTTCTTTGCTGAAAAAACTAGAAGACTATAGAACAAAAACACATTGTACACGCCTGTCAGATCCCCACGTAAACAAATATTAAATGATAAATACAGTTGGGTCTCTACAGCTCATTTTCCAGTTAACCTCTCGCCACGAACTTGTAAATTTTCATCAAAATTTGTGATCATTTTGTGACCGAGGCAAAAACTTTCGAGATACAAATGAATAGCCATAGAGTTGTCTTTTTCGTACAAGTAATATTTCACAAGATATAGCTTAATTTAAAACCATGAACTATTTCACATTTTTTGGGAACTGAAAACAAATAGTACTGGGGTGACAGAATTACTTTCCCCTGTGCATGAGGTCACAGGTGTCTAATTTATCTTAAAATGAAGACCTGTAGTAGAGCTAGGAAAAACTTGAAACATAATTATAACCATGACATGTTTGGCAGTTTCAAATTAAACCATGTCGTAAACTGCAAAAGGATTGGCTGAACTAATCTGCACTCTGAAGTTTTCCATATACACAGGTTGCCTGGTCATACATGAGGGATCATCTGTTCCTGCAGGCCAAGGTTGCAACCACACCAAAATGATGTATTAAAATCACCAGACAAATACTCTTTACACAACACACATACAAAAAAACGCAGAACCATAAATCGCGGGCTCCTGGTCGCATGCAAGTACATCAACTTCTAACATTCGGCTTCCACATTCTTATCGCACGAAATAGCATAGTGCGTCACCCAAGAGCCTTTTGTTACACTCTCCGTTCAGCAGGGAGGAATGGTATACCTGCATCTGACCAGCACCTAAGAGCACCCCAAACATTTACTTACTGGGCCTAGGAACTCTAGAAAGCCGTGCGTTGGTGGGGGTGAGTTTTCATCTGTTTTACAGGGCAGGTGTTTGCGGAATGCCCTGACTGCACCCGTTACGCCGTCTTCAGATTCCATGGCCTTGGCAAGCTCCACAGCCTTTTCTTTCACCTGAAAATCACATGGGGAAAATACATGTTTGCTGTAATTTTACTAATAGGAGATCATACAATAAGTTCTGAATCAGGGAAGTTTAGTTTAGTACTGATTTGTGTATATGTCCCAAAGATGTTCCAATCTGAGAACTTAATATCTGAATATGAACATTCTAACTATCCAATTTAACGGACCGGTTCCTGTTTCTTGGCAGTAACCAGTCCATTCCTGGCTTTTGGAACCCTGCTGGGTACCAAACTACAAATGCACCAGTGCAATTAGGAACGGAGGGAGTAATTATCAGTATATCAGTATATCAGTATATCATAACCATATCTGCAACACTGCCTGCAGCCTACCTATGCACATCTGCGTCCATATTCTTGTTATCTATTTTTGCGATATGAAACAAAAGAAAAAGTCTCATCTGCCCAAGCGCAAAAAAGTTGTAGAGTTACCTCTGGATCCAACATGAATTTTATAGCATCAACCAACTTCTGCAAAGTGAATTGATCAACCGGTATAGGCGAAGGCCCTACCCCTCTAGCATGCACCCGCTCACCCCAGAATGGTTGGTCGCCAAAGAAAGGTACAATAGTTGTAGGACACTACTAATGAAGAGTTCAATGATGGCTTGACGCTCCGCAAGTACGTAAATGCATCGCTTTCACGAACACAAGACATTCTTCACCCCGATCTTACTTCAGAGACGGGGGATCAGTGTGTCGATCATACCCAGAACTTGCAAGAACACAACACATTTGCACTGAAGGATATATGTGCTCTCCGGCTCCTTAGACTTGGCTTATTATGCTCAGCGGAATCACCGAAGGATCGCCCAGCGATGCATGATGTCTACGGTGAAGTAACTAAAGTAAAAGAGGCATTTTTCTCTATGGACAACTGAAGCAATGACCTTATATACATTATTAAGGCAAAAAAGGCAGTCGATGAAGTTGAAGCTCATTGCTTTGACCACGGCATGGCAATATGTTGATAACTTGCTATCTTTTCCGCTGCCATCTTTTTCCTTTTCAATAAGTCAATCTGTTTGGCTCACTGTAATAATTTGGTTGTGTACGCTATAGATGTCTCAGCAAGATCTTTTGAGGATCTTTCCATGTTAATAGAGCCCTTTGCCTGATAATGATGGGTTTCAACTGGGGACATTTTATATGTTTTCTTTGCTGGAAAAAGAAGAAGCCTGGAACAAATACACATAATATGCACCTATCAGATGCAAAATACGGTTGGAAGTGAAAAGCTCGTTCTCCAGTTCACCTCTCACCATGAGCTTATAAAACTCAAATTTCTACAAAAATATGATCAATTTGCGACTTAGACAAGAAAAATAGGTATATAAATGAACAAACCTCAAGTAATATATCCATAGAGTTGTATTTTCTGTACAAGTCACAAAATTCATATTTTTCAAAGTTTTTGCAAATGCATATGATATAGCCTAATTTACAACCATGAATTATTTCACATTTTTGGAAACTGAGAAAAAAAGTACTGGGGTGACAGAATTACTTTCCCCTGTGCATGAGGTCACAGGTCTCTACTTTATCTTAACCTGAAGACCTGTAGTAGAACAAGGAAAAACTTGAAACATAATTATAACCATGACATGTCTGGCCGTTCCAAATTAAACCATGTCGTAAACTACAAAAGGATTAACTGAACTAATCTGCACTCTGAAGTTTTCCATATACATAGGTTGTCTGGTCATACATGTGAGATCATCAGTTGCTGCAGACCAAGGTTGCAACCACACCAAAATTATGTATCAAATCACCAGACAAGTACTCTTTACACAACACACATACAAAAAACGCAAAACGATAAATCACGGGATCCTGGTCGCATGCATGTACATCAACTTCTAACATTTGGCTTCCACATTCTTATCGCACACAATGGCATAGCGGTCACCCAAGAGGCTTTTTTACACTCATCTTTCAGCATGGAGGAGTGGTATAGCTGCATCTGACCAGCACCTAACGGCACACCAAACATTTACTTACTAGGCCTAGGAACTCTAGAAAGCCGTGCGTAGGTCGGGGTGTATTTTCATCCGTTTTACAGGGCAGGTGTTTGAGGAATGCCCTGACTGCACCCGTTACACCGTCTTCTGATTCCATGGCCTTGGCAAGCTCCACAACCTTTTCTTTCACCTGAAAATCACATGGGAAAATACATGTTTGCTGTAATTTTACTAATAGGAGATCATACAAACTAGTGAGTTATAAATAAGTTCTGAATCAGGGAAGTTTAGTTTAGTAGTGATTTGTGTATATGTCCCAAAGTCGTTCCAATTTGAGAACTTAAGATCTGAGTTTGAACATTCTAATTATCCAATTTACAGGAATGGAACCAGTACGTGTTCCTGTTTCTTGGGAGTAAATGGTTGAAGTCTTGACTACAGTGTCTTTTCCTGGCTTTTGGAATCCTGCTAGGTACCAAACTACGAATGCACTGGTAAGTTACCGACGACAACAGTGTCTTTTCAAAAACTCAAGTAAATGGTTGTTCATCTTGACTACAGGAATCGATATATTCTCAGAGAGGAAGCACTAAAACTAAGTATATTTGGATGAAGTCTTCATGTAAACAACGTTGAAGGTCTTAAAGGGTGGATGGATAATGGGTGTAAAGTTCTAAACTTCTAATTATCAAGGTGACAATCTAGCTTTCAAATAATTATAACCATGACATTTGTAGTTTCAAATCACATCATTCTGCAAACTGCGAAAGAGTAATTGAACTGATCTCCCTTTTTAAGTTTTCCACGTAAACAGGTTGCCTGGGCCTACAGAGAGATCGTCGGTTGCTGCAACCACAGGAAAATGGCGTATCAAATCACCCGCTAGTGGTGATTAATGAGCTGGCAAGGCCACAGACACGCTTTGCTTGACTGAAAACAGAGACTTTGAATCGCTATGAGATCAGGATTGCTGTGCTTGAGCGTCCAGACTCCAGAGGCTTGGTTCACACCAAGCCAGCTTCTCACCAGGGTGAAGAAGGGCCAGACGTTTTTTCTAGTAGCTGAAATAATTTTGTAGTCTTTGTTCTGTTTAATCTAGATAACCAAGACTTGTCGTGAAACTGTTTTTAGAAGAAAGTGATCTTAACAACGAATAACCATGCACAAGAGAAAGTCTTCAGAGAGTTGGGTGTTGAGATAATTTGTAAAGAAGATGATGTTAGAGATACTCAACCTTCTACTAGCTAGGGATGTTTTTTCTTTGATATTTTGTTCATTTGAAAAATTTGATGCATGTACGAAAACACATTGGACGCACCTGCCAGATGCCTGTGTACAAATATTTCATGAGAATTTCATTTTTCCAGCTCTCGGCACCAACTTACAAGATTTCATCGAAAAAATATGATCATTCAGGATGTAAGTTATCTTTTTTGCACAAGTGACAATAAGGTGTACTATTTAATAATTATTACTTTCAACCGTACAGACGTTTCTACTTAATTTGTCTTAAAATGAAGCCCCGTAGCAGAACTAGGAAGAGCTTGAAACAAATAATTATAAACATGACATTTCTTGCGGTTTCAAATCCTAACATAGTGCAAAATGCGAAAGAGTAATTCAACTAATCTGCCCATTTTGAAGTTTTCCACATAAGCACATTGCCTGGTCCTACATGAGAGATCATCAGTTGGTGCAACCACATGAAAATGGTGTATCAAATCAGCAGCTTGTGGTGATTAACGAGCCGGCAAGGTCACAGACACGCTTTGCTTGACTGAGAACGGAGACTTTGAATCGCTAGGAGGTCAGCGTCCAGAGGCGTGGTTCACACCAGCCAGCTTCTCAACGGGATAACTAGGAATAGCCGTAGCTTCACACTCAAAGCTGTAACCTCAGCGGGCCCGCTGCTGCCCATGGTGTGGAGCTTACCGCGTCGTTAGGTTAGTCATAGTGTGAAGTAACTTAGATTATTAATATGCGTATGTTACTAGTCTATATTATTATCTTCATAGAACAAAGTAACATAAAGAAGGTATCATATATGGTCTCGTTTGTTTTCCACATAAGCAGGTTGCCTTGTCCTGCATGAGAGATCATCGCTGCAATTTACACATGAAAATGGTGTATCAGATCACCAGCTAGTGGTGATTAACGAGCCGGCAAGGTCACAGACACGCTCTGCTTGACTGAGAACGGAGACTTTGAATCGAAGGAGGTCAGCGTCCAGAGGCATGCTTCACACCAGCCAGCTTCTCACCGGGATAACTAGGAACTAGATCGGCAACGCGAGGGTGCTGGCCCCAACGACTTGGCCAAGCGGTAGTAGAAAGGCAAGTTTAGCACAGGTTGCAATCATATATGCAAAACATCAATGATATAATGCATTGCCATATAAAATACAAGAGTCTTGATTCAACCCACCAAATCCAAAAGAAATAAACTCAGTACACATTTCGCCAAGAGCACAAAGTTGATTCTGAATTCAAGTTTACATCGCCTCAATCTCATAATAAAGATGCTAATTTTCAAGAGGCATCCTTGAGGTCACCGTGCTGAACAAGGACCACTTGCAATAACATAATCAATAGCAGTTCAAACTACCAAAACTAAAACCACTATCTGCATCTCCATACATAACACAACAAAAGAAAAAAAATATAAATAAGTGGTTAAAATCACTATTTAACCACTATATTCCAAACAGGATCAACAAATTATTCTCAGATCCTAGAGTGAATGCCTACATCATGGTCACACGCAATGGGCCTCCAATCACTACAATAATTGACACAAGGATCCGATTCGTTCTAGGTGAATTGAAGTTCCATGTTTGCACCTAAAGCCAAGCAAGAGCTCAAACTCGAGCCCCCGTACCAGGCCGAGGTTGTCCATGATTCACAAGCATGTCCTTTAACTTCTGGACCTGCAATCTGATGAGATGCAGCAAGCATGTCAACATTTATCTATTTCAAATGTGGAGAACATACTCTTGAAATTTTGTTTTATTTGGATTTGAAGGTTTAGGGGGGACTTACTTAGTGAAGCTGCTAAACATGTATTGAGCTCATTCCTCCTTCGGTTGTTCTCACTAAACTCTCATGGTTGAATACCAGGATCACTACTAATTTCTGAAATGAGAAGTACCAACTACAAACAACACCAAAATCACTTATAATCGCAGAGATAGGTTGTAATCAGAAATCAAAGAGATCAACTAAGGACCACTAAAACAGAGTAGAAACCTGCATATATTTGTGAAACATAAGTTGTAATCAGAAACTAAAGAGATAAACAAATAAAAATGAGTGCAAGTCTCATTATTTTGGAAGTCCTATTTGATTAGGGAAAGGGAGCAAATGACACTCTTAATCCATCCTAGTGAGGCTACAATATCCAAGAAAAAGAAAGCCAAGGGCAGAAATGAAGAAGTAATTCCTTGAACAACTATGTGGGGGTGCCGGTCCCAACTATGTGGTCAAACAGGTAACTATCAGTTAGTAGTAAACATGGTTTAGGTTAGTAGGAAGTTCTATTGATGCATTTCATATCATCTGTCTACTTAGCCGCCAACTCCTCCTAAACTCCCACTGCCCCCTCTCCTCCTCCTCCTGCCTTGCC